AGATGCTAATGCTAATGCTAATGCTCGATCCAGATGTCGGATCAGGACTGGCCTGGACAGGACAGCTTCTCTTTATGGACGTTTCACCTTATGACACATCAGCTTCTGGTTTCAAGTGTGAAAGATTTCTATACGCTTACAAAACAGAGATGCTAATGTGTCACCTTGATGCAGAATAACTGATAACAACTTAATGGTTAGGACACAGACCTTTGGGTTACAGATGCTAATGCTAATGTTAACTTTCTGATACTAATGCTCTGATAACAACTTAATGGTTGGAATAAGTGGTATTGATAATGGATGGATGGATGGGTTAGGACACAGACCTGTGGGTTACAGATGCTAATGCTAATGCTCTGATAACAACTTAATGATTAGGACGCAGACCTGTGGGTTACAGATGCTAATGCTCTGAGAACAACTTAATGGTTAGGACTACAGATGCTAATGATAATGCTCTGCTAACTTAATGGTTGGGACACAGACCTGTTGGTTACAGATGCTAATGCTAAGATAACAACTTAATGTTTAGGACACAGACCAGTGGGTTACAGATGCTAATGCTTATGCTAAGATAACAACTTAATGGTTAGGACACAGACCTGTGGGTTACAGATGCTAATGCTAATGCTAAGATAACAACTTAATGGTTAGGACACAGACCTTTGGGCTACAGACGCTAATGCTAAGATAACAACTTAACGGTTAGGACACAGACCTGTGGGTCACAGATGCTAATGCTAATGCTAACGCTCTGATAACTTAATGGTTAGGGATTAAGACACAGACCTATGGGTTACAGATGCTAACGCTAACGCTAACCCTCTCCCCCTGCAGCCTGAGAACCTGCTGGTGTCCCTGGGCCCGGGCGGTCTTCCTGTGGTCAGGCTGTGTGACTTTGGGGACGCGGTGCAGCTGGGCGGGGCCCCCCACGTGCACGCGCTGCTGGGCAGCCCCGAGTTCGCCCCCCCGGAGCTGGTCCTGGGGGCGCCGGCGGCCCTGACCTCTGACCTCTGGGCCCTGGGCGTGGTGGCCTACGTGCTGCTGAGCGGGGCCTCGCCCTTCCTGGACGAGTCCCCCGAGGAGACCTGCCTGAACATCGTGCGTCTGGACTTCAGCTTCCCCCCCGAGCTGTTCGGGGGGGTGAGCGGGGGGGCGCGCGGCTTCGTTAGCCTGCTGCTAAGGGCCGACCCGGGCCGCCGCCCCCCCGCCCGCCTGTGCCTGCAGGAGCCCTGGCTGCAGGGGGGGGGGCCGGAGGGGGTTGGGGGAGCGCTCCTCGGGGGACTCGTCCAGGAAGGGCGGGGC